TAGTTCCCTCACTCTGATCCATTAACCGTGGTGTTTGTCAATGAATAGCTATTTGAGCAACTATCTGTTAACAGAGCTTTTTTGCAACTGGGTTCTTGCAATCAATAGTTTTTAAACATTTTCTAACCACTCCACTCCTATACCTCAAATAATCATAAGGATACAGTGGACGCTTTGGTTTTTATTTGTCTGACTAAATGGAGTCCAGCTATGTCTTTTCAGTGAGGTCAGGTTACCGTTTCAGTCTGTCCATATCCTTCATAAATATCCAGGCCCGTCTTGTTTCTCCATTGTTCAGTCACATCATTAGTAATTGGTTCCCCAGCACTCACACAGTGCTTTAAGCTTTTAAACTTATAGCTTTTCAGAAAACAGGTCAGTTAGATTAGGAGGAAAAGTGGAGAGAAGTGAAAATTAAGGATTATTTCTTATGAACTTCAATGTAAAATGTTTTAGTTGCCTTTTCATTCCTCTCCCTAGCACAAAATAAACCACTTTACCCCATATATACATCTACTATATAATCACAAATATTAAAAATAAAAATTATATTAAAAAGATAAATCATTCTAATATCATAGAATGATATTAGAACACCTCAAATACTAGTTTTTCTTCCCCCTTTTTTGGCAGGGGAGATAATTTATTACAAAGAAAGTCATTCTAGTCTTAGGAAAGGTACCCCATAACAACATTTTATTTTATTTTATGTTTTATATTTTCATGGAATGCTTCACAAATTTGCATGTCATCCTTGAGGAGGGGCCATGCTAATCGCTCTATATCATTCCAATTTTAGTGTATGTGCTGCTAAAGTGAGCACCATAAAAACACGTTAAATCAGCAATGAAAAGTTTACCAATTGTTTGGTTAAACTTATTGTCAGATATTTATACAATGGAATACTATACAGCTATAAAAAAGAATGAGGAAGCTCTTGGACAGTGCTGTCCAACAGAACTTTCTGTCGTGACAGAAGTACTCTGTAATCTGCTCTACCCACTACAGTATATGCTAGCCCTATATGAGTGTTGAACATTTGAAACATGGCTAGTATAACTGAGAAATTGAATTTTTTATTTAATTAATATTTATATTTAAATAACTAGCTGTGGTTAGTGGTTACCATATTGCACAGCACAGTGCCAGAATATATTGTTAGGGAAAAAAAAGCAAGGTGCAGAACTGTGTGAATCTTTTGATGCCATTTATGTTTATAATAGAGAAGGGGAGGCTGGGTACAGTGGCTCACACATGTAATTCTAGCATTTTGGGAGGCCGAGGTGGGCAGATCACCTGAGGTCAGGAATTTAAGACCAGCCTGGCCAGCATGGCGAAACCCCATCTCTACGAAAAATACAAAAAGTAGCTGGGCATGGTGGTGCACACCTGTAATACTACATGCTCAGGAGGCTGAGGCAGGAAAATCACTTGAATAGGAGGCAGAGGTTGCAGTGAGCCAAGTTGGTGCCACTGTACTTCAGCCTGGGCAACAGAGCAAGACTCCGTCTCAAAAAAAAAAAAAAAAATAGAGAAGAGGAGAACACATGCATATTAGTTAGTGTATTTTCAGGGAGAATTGACAAGAAACTGGAAACCCAGATTGCCTCCATGGAAGAGGACTGGGTGACTGGGGACAAGGTTTGAAGCAAGACTTTTCACTATGTATTTTTATATACCTGTTGAATTTTTTTCAACTGGTGAATAGTGAATTATTTCCTATTCAAAAATTAAATAACATCAATTTAAATATATTTATGTGTGATATGTGATATAACAGGAAATAAGTAGAGGTTGAGTATCCTTAATCTTGAAATCCAAAATCCAAAGTGCTCCAAAATCTGAAACTTTTTCAGCACCAACATGATGCTCCAAAGAAATGCTCATTGGAGGATTTTAGGTTTTATATTTTTGGACTAGGGCAGCCCAAACAGTATAATGCAAAGACTCCAAAATCTAAAACAATCTGAAATCCGAAAGACTTCTGGTCTCAAGCATTTTGGGCAAGGGATACTTAACCTGTATTGGGTCTTCATCCTGGGTTCTTGGCCCAGAGCTTCTAAAACCTTTATAATTTCCCAAGCAAGGGGTATGCTAGGAGTCTCTTTTGTTCTCATATTTTGTCTTTGACTCCGGTTCCTGACACAGAGCTCCTAAATTCTGTGGAATTTCCTGGGTGATAGAATCGTCTTTTGTTCTCATGAGGCAACTCATATGGGGCTCCCGTATGGGGGTTGGTCACCAGAAAGGCCAAGCCAGGAATAGAAGCTTGGCACTTTCAACCCCACCACCATCCTTCAGGGAAGGGAGATGTGCTGGAGATTGACTTAATAATCAATCATGCCTACATAATGGAGCCTCCAAAAAAATCCCTGAGGTATGAGGTTTGGAGAGCTCCATGTGCTGGAAAGGTAGTACACTCCTACTCCACAGGGATGGAAGCTGCTGCACTTGGGATCCTGTGGATCTCACCCTATGTACCTCTTCATCTGCATAGCTATTCATCTGTAATCTTTATCATATCTTTTATAATAAGCTGGAAAATGTAAGTAAGTGTTTTCCTGCATTCTGTGAGCCATCATAGCAAATTACTAAACCCAAGGAAGGGTCATAGGAACCTTTGATTTATAGCCATTTGGTCATATGTGGAGTTGACAGCCTGGACTTGTGATTAGCATTTGAAGTGGGAAACAGTCTTGTGGGACTGAGTTATTAACCTGTGGGATATGATGCTGTCTTCAGGGAGATAATGTCAGATTGAATTACATCATAGGACACTCAGCTGATGTTGGAGAATTGGTCAATGTGGGAGAAAAATCCCTTACATCTGGGGACCAGGAGTATTGAGCATTGTGAATATAGTAAAATAGTGGCTGCTGGGAGCTGAGCTATGAGAATGCAAAGGCATAAGAATGATACAATGGACTCTGGGGACTCCGGGAAAAGGGTAGGAGGTGGGTGAGGGATAAAAGACTACACAATGGGACAGTGTACACTGCTCGGGTGATGGGTGCAACAAATCTCAGAAATCACCACTGAAGAACTCATGCATGTAACCAAACAACACCTGTTCCCCCAAAACCTACTGAAATAAAGAAAAAAAACAAAGAAAACAGGTGGTTGTTTTTCTTTTCAGATTACCAATGCACCCTTTCAAATAGAATTAGCAATAGAATAAAAGATATAAACCATATTTTCTATCTGCCGGGATAAGGTTCCAAACAGAAATAAGTTCTCTACTTTCTCAGCTCAGAGAAAGCCATCATCCAAAAGATTGACCATCTTTTTACCCATAACCACTGGGCTTGGAGCTATAGATGTTGTGGAACCCTCACTTTCTTCTTGTTTAGGGGAGCCTGTTCTGGACACAGTAATTATCATTCACAGAATGCAAGCAAGAAGGAGAAGGAGGAAGAGGAGAGATTGCTAAATCCTGTGTCTACTGGCTTGGAGCTATGTTTTCAGGCAGAAAGATCCTTGATTTTATAGCTTCCTCTTCTCCCCTCCCCCCACTAAATGCCTATTTACTAACATTTCTTACCTGGTCATATCATTCTGTACAAGCATTCGGTATGCAGTTGGTGCTGAACAAAAGACTGTGATGGGGTACTTGGAGAGTGTCTGCAATTTAGAAAAAGCAAACTCTTGGTCTTACTACAACTTTAATAAGTGCTTAAATGTCTTTGGTTGGCACAGCACAATTTAAACATTGTTTATGTTAATGTAAATGCATTCTTACTTTTTCTTGTAGAATCATTCCTCAGTGTCTGTAAGATTGGCTCCAGGAATGCTTAAGTCTCTTATATAAAATGGTGTGGTATTTGCATATAACCTATATACATCCTCCCGTATACTTTAAATCATCTCTAGATTACTTCTACTGCTTAAAACAATGCAAATGCTATGTAAATATTTGTTACATGGTATTTTTTTAATTGTTGTATTTTGTTTTTTGTTTTTCTCCCCAAATATTTTCAATATGTGGCTGGCAGAATCAGGGGATGCACAACCTGTGGATATAGAGGGGGCCAACTGTATCTTTTCAGGCTTATTGACTTTCTGGATGTGACATATCTTATATTGTCTACTCTGATCTCTGAAAGTTGCTTTATTCATTAGTTCTGTCAGCCATACTGCTTAATGCACTGCTAAATATTGACCTCCTTGTGCTCTGGCTTACTTGAAAAATAGAAGTTGGCTCAAAACGGGGTAAATAATGTGCGAATACACATGCTCCCTGGATCCATGGAGAAAAAACACTACTCCATGCAGACTTTGCCCAGCCCGTATCCGAGGTATTCCACATCACGTCTGAGGGTGTCAAATCTAGCCAGAACCTGGAGAAACAAAGAGTATCCCTGATGTACATAGGAAAGCAAATATAAAAGACCAGTACATGGCCAGGCACGCAGGCTCATGCCTGTAATCCTAGGACTTTGGGAGGCCAAGGCGAGCAACTCACCTGAGGTCAGAAGCTCAAGACCAGACTAACCAACATGGAGAAACCCCATCTCTACTAAAAATACAAAAAATTAGCTGGGCATGGTGGCACCTGCCTGTAATCCCAGCTATTCGGGAGGCTGAGGCAGGGGAATTGCTTGAACCTGGGAGGCAGAGGTTGCAGTGAGCTGAGATTGTGCCATTGCACTCCAGCCTGGGAAACAAGAGCAAAGCTCTGTCCCCCACCCCCACCCCCCCAAAAAAAGACCAGTACATAAGTCATCATTTTTGCAGTTTTGATACTTCAAGCTACACTTCTGTGGAAGTATACCTTCCATTTACAGATAATCCTAAACCGAAACTGCTGTGGGTGTGTCCAGTCATTTTCGGAGATCCAGTTGTTCCACTAGTAAAGAAAATGGCCATCATCTCATTGTGTTTCGTCTTCACACAGGTGTGGCTGTCACTGGCATGTCTGCAAGGGAAAAACTATAATGACTGCATGTTAAACACAGCATCACAGACGGTTACCACTGAAAAAGATTTGAGAAGCTGTCCCCTTGAACCTCTTCATGTCATGAATGAGGTGCCAGTGGCTTAGCTTGAATTACAAGGTAAAAGCCATCACTTTCTCTTCCGTTTAGGTGCTTTCTAGAATCAAAACTTAACTTTGTCCTCAAAAGCCCATTTATAATAGCTGCTTTCCCAGCTATTTATTCTATGATAAGGAAGGATTGAAGCATTTTTATCATACCTCCAGCAGAGTGAGGAGTCTGTGATCTTGCAATCATGGATAAGGAAGAATTTCTCCCTCCTCTCCCCTGTGGATGCTTTAAAATGTGATTTTTAAAAATAAGTATGTTAATACAATACATATTAGTAAAAGTCATGGGGACTGATGACTCAACAAACTACAGCCTACTGGCAAAATCTGGCCTGCCTCTTGTTTCTGTAAATGTTATTGCCCATTCATTGATGTATTATCTGTGGTTGCTTTCACACTACAATGGCAGAGTTGAGTAGCTGTGATGAGACTGACTATATGGCCTGCAAGCCCTTAAGTATTTATTCTCTGTCCCTTTTACAGAAAATGTTTGCTGAGTCTAGGTATAGTGGCTCATGCCTGTAATCCCAGCACTTTGGGAGGCCAAGGTGGGTGGATCACCTGAGGTCAGGAGTTTGAGACCAGCTTGGCCCAACATGGGGAAACCCTGTTTCTACTAAAAATACAAAAATTCACCAGGCACAGTGGCACACACCTGTAACCCCAGCTACTTGGGAAGCTGAGGCGGGAGGATCGCTTGAACTAGGAGGCGGAGGTTGCAGATTGAGCCACTGCAATCCAGCCTGGGCGACAGAGCAAGACTTTGTCTAAAAAAAAAAAACCTGCCAACTATGAAAGGATGGTTTTTCTGTTTCCCACAGGAGTGTCTACATAGTTCTGGATATAGTAAACAATAAGACTAAACAGGATCTAAAGCATCCATCCAGGGAAGAAAGAATTCCAGTTAAAGAGAAAGAAAACCTTTTAGTTCCAAAGGATAATCAGACTTCTATACAAGTCACACATTAGGGCAGCTGCACGCATACATATCAAGTGTATGAGAATGAGTGGAAACAACCAGGCCATTCATAAGAAATATAGAAAAGCTCTTAGTTTTTTTTTGAGGCAGTCTCTCTCTCTGTTTCTCTCTCTATCTGTGTGTCTCTCTCTCTTGCCCAGGCTGGCGTGCAGTGGCTCAACCTCCTGGCTTTAAGTGATCTTCCTACCTCAGCCTTCCAAGTAGCTGGGACTACAGGCATGTATCACCACGCCTGGCTGATTGTTTTTATTTATGTAGAGAACAGGGTTCACTATGTCTAATTATTTTTATTTAGGTAGAGAGGAGGTTTCACTCTGTTTCCCAGGCTGGTCTTGAACTCCTGCACTCAAACGATCATCCTACCTTAGCCTCCTAAAGTGGTGATTTAACAGGCATCAGCCACTGTACCTGGCTGAAAAGCTGTTTTCAAAACCTGACAGAGCTATACCAAATGTTCAGTCTATGATTCAATAATTATCTTAATTAATTAAAAACAGTATTTATAGTCATGTTCCTATCACTTCTGTTATCAACACAGTTGCCCTGAAAACCTGAGGCAGAGTTATCTTACTGATCTCTTACTAGAAGCAGTACATACAGAAGTGAGGAATGTAGGCTCAGCAACCATACTGCCTGGGTTTGAAACTTAGCTCTGCTAGGTACTAGCATTTGACCTTATTTATCTGTGTAATTATAGTATCTAGGTTGCTGGGACGTTTTAATGAGGTAATATATCTGAAATCCTTAGAATAGTTTCTGGTACATAACCATATCAATATAAGCTATGATTGCAATTACAACATTATTTTTATTAGACCAGTACTTGGCCTTTAGCAAGAACTCAATATTAGCAATTTTAAATGTTATAGGAACAAGTCTATAGTTGCAAGCATGCTCCCAGATCCTTGAGTAAAGATAGGAAGCTCATTCTAGTGAAGGACTTTGCTGCCAGCCCAATTCTAAGTCATAGTCAGTACTTGCCAAGAGTTCCAAGTAACCCATGGAAGCCCCCCAAGCTAGGCTTGAACATCAGTGAAATTCAGTTTTATAATTTCACTGATTAACATTAAGCGTTTTTCTTATTTTAACTTGATACCAGTGTTGGCTGTCAGCAAGGGAATGGCATAGGCAACACTGAAGGACTGACTGTGATCAATTTCCCTGGGAGATCATAACAGCTCTATGATTGATGCTGTGATGCACTTCCAAGATCCTTCTGCAGGAATGAAGGATTTAATCCCCACAGGAGCTGGGAGCCCTCTTTAGAGAATGCCTTGACTGAAGAGAGCTGCCTTGTTAAAGGCCTTGCCTCCTAGGGACAGCCCACATAATTACTGACCAATGTGGGTATATAAAGGCCAGGACCTATTGCCTTACCTGTGAACAGCTTTGGGAGCTGTTCAACCTTCAGAGGTCCCAGTGGGTTGACTGAAGGCTTTGCAAGGAATACATTGCAAATAAATTTCTTTCTCTACCCAATCCTACATTCTTACCCTTCCTTCACAGGTGTTAATACCAAGAGAACTCCTTAATAAACTTCTTATACACCAATCTCCATCTCAGGGGATCCCAGCCTGCAAAAAGCACCCCAAGCTCCTTACCACCTCAGAGTTTAGCACTATTAATACAGCAATAACTACCAATTGTTTCCTTTGCCTGTTGTTTTAATTTGCATTTTTCTAATCACTACTGGGTTGAATATCTTTTTATTGTTGCCTTTCCTTTTGTGAAGCTGTTCTGCAACAAGCGTGGCTACTCACTTCATCATCTCCTTGAGGTTCCCCCATCCCTCTCTGGAGTTCTGTGACACAATCAGCTTGGAGTGCAGATTTTCACATTTGGGTGCAATAGCATCTATTGCTGGGGCTAAAATATCATTGGTGATAATGCACTTTGCTTTTGAAGATTGTAGTCTGTAGAGAATGTCTTTCTGGGTCAGCTGAGTGGTTCCTGGAATTAAAACTGTCCCTAAAGGAGCAGAAAAGAAATGGTGTTTAGAAGAAAGGTTATTTTTCATTATGTTAGTTAGAGTAGTGTAGATAACATCCATACATTCTGTATTTCTCAGAATGAGTTAGTCAGTTTACTAGCAAGGTATCTATTTGTCTTACTTCCATTTATCTGCTTTTGCCTTTCAAGTCATTTCAGAGTCTATGACCCTTTTGGCCTAACATTAAAGCATGTTAAATACTCAATAATTATTCTTTACTTGAAGACCATCCATAACTTTGAGCTTGAAGAAAGTTTTGATTGAAAAGTAATATTACCCAATATTTATTGAGTATTTGATTATATGTTTTAACTCATTCAGTCCCCACCAAAAAAACCTAAAACAAAAAAAAAAACTATGAATAACTTGCCCAAGATATTACCTAAGTAGTAAGTGACAATGCAGGAATTGAACCCTGTAGCCTGACTCCAGAACTGTGGACTTGACCACTTCAACTTAGTGCCTCTTAAAATGTACATGATTGTTTTATAATTTCTTTCCAAAGGAAAGGGTGGAGGCATGCATCTTTTCTGTGGTTCTATTCCTGCTGGTTGTATATTAAACTGTAAGATAAAGTATAATGATTAAGAGTGTCCTGGAGCCAGACACACTTATAGCTGGAACTTGGACAAGCCACTTCACCTCTGTGAGCTTCAGGTTCTGCATCTGTAAAATGATATTATAATAATAATACTTCCCTTATAGGATAATTAGAGGATTAAATGAGTTAAAACATGTAAAGAACTTAGAACGGTGCTCAGTAAGCTTTGGATATAATTTTCTCAAAGGATAAATGGACTCTCAAAAATATGTAATCTGCCTCCTGGGCCCCACCACCCTTAGATTCCAGACCCTTAAGACAGGGATGGAGGTTATTCACTTTACAATAGGTTTTACTCTTCCCAGGTGACGCAGCAGGCAAGAAGATTGGGGAACATATATCTGCCATTCCTGGACTCTTGACACTGGCTCATCATTTTACTTTGGGAAGGACCAGTTCTCTCCAGCAGGGTTCTTCAAGAAACTAACAACCAGAAGGCAGAACCAGGTTCTTTAGAATATCTTTTCTTTCTAATCAGGGCAACACAATTTTTGTGAGGCTGTAATTCTAAGGTTATCCTTTAAAGATGTTCCACCTAGGGATAAGGAATTAGCCTACCATGACTTAACACTTTTATATAATTTAAAGATATTTTTTGACACTAAGCCCACACCAAAATAAATATATTATGATTATTTAGGAAAATCTCCCATCCAGCTTGGTTTAAATATGATCAGAAAGCAAACATTACTAACCTGTTCGCAGACAGGCCACATTTGTAAGCCACCACTCTGGGACCCTGGGCAGAATCAAAATTACTCGATCTCCTCTTTGTAGGGTACAGGCTTCTGAAAGTACATTGGCAAGTTTTCTGGACAGAGATCCCAGTTCCTCAAAACTCCATTTCACCTCTTTTCCTTTTCCATTGATCCACCAGAAGGCTGGATTTGAATGTTTCTTTCCAGCCTGAGGAAAGACAAACCAGTCATGGATTTAAAGGTTGTTATACAGCTAACTTCTGGGTCAGCTGACTTAGTGGAATATATTAGCTGAAGAAAATTCACAAGTCATTAGTTGGAACATGCATGGAGTATCGGGAAATATCTCTAGGAGAGACATCATCAAGATGGATGACTAAAGATGCCCAGTACTCACATCCTATCAGAAGGACCAAAACAGTGAGCAGATAACCACATGACAAATAGAATGTCAAAGGGAGAACACAGGAATTTAGCAAGGAAGTGACAAAACTCTCCAAGACCTGAAAACTAGGGTGAAAGCATAAAGGAGAAAGAACAGCAGCTGGCCAGGATCAACTCAGAGCCAAGAGGGACTCCGTATTCTCGGGAAAATGTAAATGGAAGATCCTCAGCAGTCCACATTCCCACCACAGATGCCTGAAATCCTACCTACAGGAGAGCCCCTCAGCCCTCACAGGTCCTGAGCCTAGTAAAAGCTATATAGTATAGTACGCTAGTACAGCATAAGATTGTTCTAGAGAGGAAATTCATACCATACTAGGTCCCTGTGGCACAAACCCCAGGACCCAAGCTGCTACATTATTTTAGAAACAGAGCTACCACCATCTTGCCTTGGGGCCAATAGCCCCTGCATGTCCACATCCCTGAGGCCCTGCTGACATCCACACACATTCACCTAGAGAGCTACAGCACTGCAACACCAGGTGGTTCCAGTGACATAACCAGGCCACTTGCACCCGAGCCTACACACAGCACTCTACCCCAGGGAACAGGAAGTCCAGCACATCAGGGAGGCTGCGCCCTAAAGTAAGGCACTGAAGCACACTCCCCAGAGCCTGAGAGCAGCCTTCCTGAGCCTGCTGCCATGAACATGATCTTGCCCCCTCTAGTGGCAGAGCCATTTTGTGCCTGCATGTGCCATCTGAGGACCAAAGGACTGGCCTATGCAGTCCACCACTACAAGTACCCATGTGCACTGCCAAAGGACCTGAGGACTGACCCACTTGAGGCTTACCGCCACTACTGCCAGTGCTCATGCACACTTTCTGGGAGCCTAAGGATCATCCTGCCTGGGACCCACTGGAACCACTGCTGGCACCCTTATGGTGAACAAAATAACACCTATCAATAACAATCTTGAATGTAAACAGTTTAAATTCCCCAGATAAAAGATATGGACTGTGTGGACTGACGGAATGGATAAAAAACAAGACCCAACTATAGGCTGCCTATAAGAAACTCACCCCACCTGTAAAGATACACGTAGATAGGGCTGGGCACGGTGGCTCCTGCCTGTAATCCCAGCACTTTGGGAGCCTGAGGTAGGTGGATCATGAGGTCAAGAGATTGAGACCATTCTGGCCAACATGGTGAAACCCTGTCTCTACTAAAAATGCAAAAATTAGCTAGGCATGGTGGTACGTGCCTATAGTCCCAGCTACTTGGGAGGCCAAGGCAGAAGGATTGCTTGAACCTGGGAGGTGGAGGGTGCAGTGAGCTAATATTGCACCATTGCACTCCAGACTGGTGACAGAGTGAGACTCTGTCTCAAAAATATAGATAGATAGAAAATGAAGAGATAGAAAATAATGTTTTAAACAAATAGAAACCAAAAGTGTGTAGGAATAGCTATGCTTATATCATGTGAAATAGACTTTAAGTCAGAAAACATAAAAAGAGGCAAAGAAGGTCATTATATAATGATAAATAGATCAATTCGGCAAGAGGATATAACAATTGTAAATATGTATGCACCCAACATCAGCACACCCAGATATGTAAATATCGTTAGATGTAAACAGATAGATAGATTCCAACACAATAATATTTGCAACTTTAACACTCCACTCTCAGCATTAGATGGATCATCTAGACAGAAAATCAACAAAGAAACATTGGATTTAAACTGCACTTTGGACCAAATGGACCTAACAGATATTTATACAACATTTCATCCAACAGCTACAGAATACACGTTCTTCTTCTCATCAGCACATGGCACATTCTCCAGAATAGACCATATTTTAGGGCACAAAACAAATGTCAACAAATTCTTAAAAACTGAAATCATACCAAATATGTTCTTAGACTACAGTGGAATAAAATTAGAAATCAACAACAAGAGGAACTTTGGAAAGTGTACACATACAGAGAAACTAAAGAGCATGATACTGAATGACCAGTGAGTCAATGGCAAAATTAAGAAGGAAAGCAAAAAATTTCTTGAAAATGAAGAAAATGGAAACATATCAAAATCAATGAGATCATGCAAATAGAGTGTGAAGAGGGAAGTTTATAGCCATAAACACCTATATCAGAAAAGCAGAAAGATTTCAAATAAACAATCTAAGAATGCACCTCAAGGAACCAGAAAAGCAAGAACAAACTAAATTCAAAATTAGTAGAAGGAAAGAAATGGTAAAGATCAGAGCAGAAACAAATGAAATTGAGGCAAAAATTATAAAAGATCAACAAAACAGAATTTTTTTTGAAGATAAAGTAGACAAATTTATAGCTAGATTAAGAAAAAAAAAAGAGAGAAGACCCAAATAAATAAAATCCTTAAAGACTATTATGAACAACTATCTGCCAACAAATTGGAAAACGTAGAGGAAATAGATAAATTCCTAGACACACATAACCTACCAAGATTAAACAATGAAGAAATAGAAAACCTGAACAGACCAATAATGTGTAATGAAATTGAATCAGTAATAAAAAGCCCAGAACGGGATGGCTTTACTGCTGAATTTTACTGAACTTTTAAATAAGAACTAACACTTTTTTTTTTTTTTTTTTATGAGATGGAATCTTACTCTTGTTGCCTAGGCTGGAGTGCAATGGCACAATCTTGACACTGCAACCTCCACCTCCCAGGTTCAAGTGATTCTCCTGCCTCAGCCTCCTGAGTAGCTGAGATTATAGGTGTGTGCCACCATACCCAGCTAATTTTTGTGTTTTTAGTAGAGAAAGGGTTTCACCATGTTGGCCAGGCTGGTCGTGAACTGACCTCAGGTGATCCACCCGCCTCAGCCTCCCAAAGTGCTGGGATTACTGGCATGAGCCACTGTGCCCAGCCTTAATGCTAATTCTTCTCAAACTCTTTTTAAAAACTGAAGAAGAAAGAATTCTTCCTAGGACATTCTACCAAAACTACATAAAGACACCATGCTTTTTAACTTCAAATCATACTACAGAGCTATAGTAACCAAAACAGCATGGTACTGGCATAAAAACAGATGCATAGACCAATGAAACAGAATAGAGAACCCAGAAATAAACCCACACATTTACATTCAACAGATTTTCAACAAAGATGCCAAGAGTATACACTGAGGAAAGGATATCCTCTTCAGTACATGGTGCGAGGAACAGCGGTATCCATATGACAATAGACTAAAACTAGAGCCCTATCTCTCACCATATACAAAAATCAATTCAAACTGGATTACAGACTTAAAATGTAAGACTCAGAATGTAAAACAACTGACGAAAACAGTGTAAATGCTCCAAGTCATTGGTCTAGGCAAATATTGTTTTTAATTTTAATTTTTTTATTTTTTAAAAATTTTATAATAAATTTAATAAAATCGGACAGCCTTCTGAGCCAGAGTAGGCTCTGAGACTCCCCTAGCAAATATTTTGGGGATAAGGATAGGAAAACAGGCAACAAAAACAAAAACAGACAAATGGGACTATATCAAACTAAAAAGCTTCTGATCAGTAAAGGAAGCAATCAACAGAGAGAAGAGACAAGATGTAGAATGGGAGAAAAGATCTGTGAACTATTCATCTGACAAGGAACTAATATCCAGAATATACAGGGAATGTAAATAACTCAACAGCAGTAAATAAATAAATAAATAAATAAATAAATAAAAACGCACAAATAATTCAATTAAAAAATGGACATAGGATCTAAATACACATTTTTCAAAAAAACATACTAATTGGCAGCAAGTATATGAAAAAATGCTCAACATCATTAATCATCAGCGTAATTCAAATCAAAACCACAATGAGATATCATCTTACCCCAGTTATAATGGCTATTATCAAAAAGACAAAAGATAACAAATGCTTGAGAGGATGTGGAGAAAAGGGAACTCTTAAACACTATTGGTGAGAATATAAATTACTATAGCCATTGCAGAAAACAATATAAAGCCTTCTCAAAAAACTAAAAATAGAACTACCATATGATTCAGCAATCTCACCACTGGATATTTTTTCAAAGGAAAGAAAATCAGTATATTGAAGAGATAGCTGCACTGCCATGTTTACTGTAGCACTGTACATAGAAGCCAAGATAAGGAATCAACTTACATGTCCATCAACAGATGAATGGATAAAGAAAACGTGGTATAGTATTGCACAGTGCAATACCATTCAGCCATAAAAAAGAATGAAATTCTGTTGTTTATGGCAACATGTATGAACCTGGAGGACATTATGTTAAGTGAAACAAGTCAGACATGGAAAGATGAATGCCACATGTTGTTACTCATATGTGAGAGCTTAAAAAAAAAAAAGAGCTTCACTGAACTTCAGCCTGGGCAACAGAGCAAGACTCTGTCTCTTAAAAAAAAAAAAAAAAAAAAAACCTTGGTCAGGCACAGTGGCTGGCTCAGGCCTATAATCCCAGCACTTTGGGAAGCTGAGGTGGGCGGATCACTTGAGACCAGGCGTTCAAGGCCGGCCTGGCCAACATGGCAAAACCTTGTCTTTACTAAAAATACAAAAATTAGCCAGTGTGGTGGCAGGTGCCTGTAGTTTTGGGTGATTGGAAGGCTGAGGTACAAGAATCTCTGGAACCTGTGAGGCTGAGGTTGCAGCAAGCTGAGATCATACCACTGCACTCCAGCTTGAGATTCTGTCTCAAAAAAAAAAGAGCTCATAGAAGTAGAGAGTGGAATTGTGGCTATTAGAGGCTGAGAAGGGTAGTGGGGAGAGGAGAATAGGAAGAAGTTGGTTAACGGATGCAAAATTATAGCTAAATGGAAGGAATAACTTCTAGTGTTCTCTAGCACTGTAGGGTAAATACAGTTAAGAATAATTTATTGTGTATATTCAAAAAGCCAGGAGACAGGATTTTGAATGCTCCCAGCACAAAGAAATAATGCATGTTTGAGATGATGGGTAGCCTAATTACTCTGATTTGATCACTACACATTTTATACATGTATCAAAAACATCTCTGTACCACATAAGTATGTATAATTATTACATAACTAAAAATAACAGAAAGATAATAACTTTGGGGTCCTTATTTCTAGATGGTGGAAGCCATGTCGTTTCTTTTGGCCCACATCATTTCCCATTTAGCCTGATCATTTTTCTTTACAATAAGTGAGAATCGTTGCATTCCTTTACATTTTCCTCAATGATTTATCTGTGCCTTCTTTTCTACCATTTCTGACTCCTGGAATTACTTTACATGCTTCTCCTTTTTGTTTTTGTTTTTTTAAAGTCAACCTAGAATTCTACATTTATGTAATCCAGGGTCTCTCAACTAACCATGGAACTATTGACATTTTGGGTCAAAGAATTCTTTGTTCTGGAGGCTGCTCTGTGCATTACAGGATATTTAGCAGAATCCCTGGCTTTTACCTGTTAGATACGGGTAGAAACTGCCTCCACCCCTGTCACAGCAACAAAAGTATTTCCAGACATTAGAGATGTTACCTAGGGGTAAAATTACTCCCAGTTGAGAAACTGTGGTCTGACTGGCCCTTGCACCATACCTTTTCCATATCAGTCCATTGGTCCAGGACATCATTAGCAAAGTTGAAATACTCTGGAATCTCCAGTTTGAAGTCCTGTTTCATGGATTCATAATTGAAGAAATTCTGAGGGGTTGCTGTTCTATTATCTTTATGCAGTGCCCTCACAGAACCAGAAATTGGTATGCACTGAAAACGCTTGGCATAACGTAGCATCTTCATGGTGACACGAACTAGCAACAGTTTTGTTGGATCTTTTAGCACTCAGGATTTGCACAGAGACCAGTCCATCTAAAAGACAAGCAAAAAGGATATATATTTGTTTCTGTCCCTGAAGGTAGCCATACCCCAAAGTGGCTAAGTTTTGTTATTATTGATAATCATCATGATAGTACCATTTTCTGAGCACATTCTGTGTTCTAAAAACTGTGCTCAGTGTTTTATATATACTTCATCATTAAATCCTCAGAGAAACCCTGTGAAGTGGGTACTATTATCATCTCTGTTTACAGATTGAGAAAATTATTTGTAAGAGGCATTGGTTGGATTGGAACCCGGAACTATCAGGTCCTAGCCCATTCTCCTGAATACTGTGCCCTATTGACTCCTATATGCATTTCTAAAGAAGTAAAAATCTGGGTCACCCACTTAATCTCACTGAAAGCAAAGGGCTAAGCCTTTTTGTCTGATGTCTTTCACCTGCAGATTTCAAAGTAGGGCAGAAATGTTAAGGAGCATTTTTCAAAGTGGATACTCTGTAGATGAAGCAACCGACAGTAGCCCAATAGTAGTACCAATTAGACATGAAAGCACTGTCACAGTTTATAAACTATCTAGTTTATAGGCTGCAATTCCCATGTTCTCAATAGGGGCCCACACTACTTTCAAGTCCAGGCTTGGAGCTGTATTTACTGGAGATGTAATAATGGGGCTTTAACATTTAGGACTTTTGTGGGGGAGGCCCCTCTGGGCCATCACCTGCTTCTGTGGGAAATCATTTGATCACAGTGTTATTTATTTGGTTGAGGCTGTTAAAAATCCAGTTCTAGGGATTATGAGTGAGGTTCTCCTCATTATACTTCCTGTAATTTTCCAAATTTCCTATAATGCAATATGTATTACTCTCATAATCATTAAATCATCATTCTGATTACAGTTCTGTGTAAAGCAGTCTGGCTATGTGGAAACATTTCTGTATTGATACATTGCCAAAACAATACATAATTGCAGATGCCAGCTAAATGGACAGTTTAGCTGACATCTGCAATTATTGCAGTTTTACTCTAAATGGACCAGTGTTTGGATGTCATGTTGATATACCCAATGCATCAGGAAACCTGGGTACTTCTGCCCCTCTCATTTGTTTGTGTGAAGACATGACAAGTCAGTGTTCTTGAGCCCTCTGAGACCATCTGGTTCCAGCTTTTTCATTTTTCACCTGCAAAGAAAACCGGAGGCCCAGAGAAGGGAAACAGCATGCTTCATTCTGTCATACCAGAGTTAGAACTAGAACTCTGGTCTTTGGATTCCCATTTGGATGTTTTTACTATCATTAAACAGGATTTCAATAGAGCAGTGGTTCACAGTTCAGCTGTACATTTGAATCACCAAGAAAACTTTGCTTAAAAACAAACTCTGATGCCTAGGTCTTGGATCAAGTAGAATATTTGGGAGTGGGCTCTTTGCCCATTCATATATTTTTTAAATTTCCTCAGAAGATTTTAATGGGCAGCAGTCATAGTTGAGAATCACTGATTTAGAGGCTGCGATTTGTGAACCAGCATTATCATCATTATCACCTGGAAGCTTGTTAGAAGTGCACATTATCAGGCCCCGCTCCAGATCTACTGAATTAGTAGATGTTGACATTTTAACAAGATCCCAGGTAACTGGTATGTACATTCAAGTATGAAAAGCACCAGTCTATAGTATGATGGCTAAATATATTGGCTGCTGAGCCATATAGTCATGTGATACTGTCTCCCAGTTTTGCCTCTTAAGAACTGTGTGACCTTATTTGAATTATTAATCACTCTGAACCTCAGTTTCACATTTTACCAACGGAGTGACTAATAGAATCACCATCAGAGATTTGTCCTGAAGACTGAATGTGACAATGCATGTGAAATGTTTATCATGGTGCCAAGCATATTACTCTCTATTAGAATATGGGTCAGCAAACTTTTTCTGTAAAGGGCCAGATAGTAAATATTTGAGGCTTTGTGGGCCATATGGTCTCTGCTGCAGGTATTTAACTCTGCCCTTGAGAGAGCAACCATTGACAATACATAGATAAATTTTGGCATGGCTATGTTCCAATAAAACCTTATTTATGGATACTGAAACTAGAGTTTCATTTTTCATGGGTCATGAATTAGTATTCCTCTTTTAGTTATTTTTTCAACCATTAAAAAATGTAAAAATGATTCTTAGTTCAAAGGCTATACAAAAACAGGCAGAGGGCTAGATTTGACCCATGGGCTGCAGTTGGCTGATCTTTGCAGTGTGATGGAAGTTCTTTTTTTTTTTTTGAGATAGAGTCTTGCAATGTCACCTGGGCTGGAGTGCAGTGGCATGATCTCAGCTCACTGCAACCTCTGCCTCCCAGGTTCAAGCAATTCTCCTGCCTCCATCTCCCGAGTAGCTGGGATTACAGGCACCCCCACAACCACACCCGTCTAATTTTTGGTCTTTTTAGTAGAGATGGGGTTTCACTATGTTGGCCAGGCTAGTCTTGAACACCTGACCTTGTGATCTACCCGCCTCAGTCTCCCAAAGTGCTGGGATTACAGGCGTGAGCCACTGCACCTGGCCACTGTGATGTGAGTTCTACCAGAGCAGGGGCCTTTTCTGTTACGTTCTGCTACTATTCCTTGAAATTATAGTAGCGTTTGGCCCATAGTATGTACTTGGCATATGTTTGTTGAATGAATAAATGGCTTTTTCAGAAGGGATAGACCTGAAATGTGCCTTTACTGCTTTAACCAGATTTATGTGACTACTGCACTGTCTACCTGTGGCAGTTTTTAAAAAAATTAAATAAATTTTAAAATTAGTTCATCAGTCACACTAGCTACATTTCAAGTGGTTAATATCCCCATGTGGCCAGTGGCTATTGTATGTAGGTTAGTACAGACATAAAACATTTCTTTTGTTGTAGAACATTCTTTTGGACAATGCTAATCTATATTAATAGTAGATAAGAACTAGATTGATAGGAAACATTAAAATACAGGAAAACTGTGGCGGAAGCTTTCCAAGATACGACTTTTCTAAGGTCCAGTTTAGTAAACTGTTGTCTAGGGTTCTCTTGCCTATATATTCCACGGGAGGGGAAGCATTAACAAAAATTTCTTGGCAGGCTTTAAGAGTAAAGGCTGCTCTAAGAACAGAAGTAAAATCACTCTGAATCCTAGTTTCCCTATAGGTTAAGACCTCAAGTCCAACAATGTCATTCTGTTTGGCATTGGGGATTAGGTAGGGAGGGAACTACTGGTCCCTGCCATTTGCTGGCAAGTCACAGCCTATGCTTTTGGCTGCTCTCCTCAACAGAATTAGCATCAGGTTTATTTTAACTGGAAGAAGTTAAGCAATCAACAGTACTGTCTCTCTATGTTTTTAATTTTTTTTTTCATAACATCTTCAAATGGCTCAAAAAAACCATAAAAAAAATCTGCCTCCCACCTGTAGTCTCAAAGCTGCCTGGTTTGCTCTCACCCCAGGAAACCATTATTATTTCTACTTACTTTTCAAGGTTTCTTTATGTACATTCAACCAGATTATGAGTATAGATTCTTCTCCACCAATTTTACACAGCAGAGACCCCAGAATACACAGTATTCTGCCCACTAAAAACATTTTTAACAATGTACTTTTTGAGGGCTTCCATACCAGTGCACAGAGATCTTCATTTTTTTAAATGAAATATTTATTTATTTTTTCCTCCCCCAGCCCCCTGCAAAGACAGGATCTCACTCTGTCACCCAGACTGGGGTACAGTAGCATGAGCATAGCTCACTGCAGCCCCAAACTTCTGGGAGGAAGTGATCCTCCTGCCTCAGCCTCCAGAATACCTGGGATTACAGGTGTGTGCCACTACACCCAGCTAAGTGTTTTTAAATTTTTTTTTACAGATGGGATCTCGCCATATTGCCGAGGCTGGTCTCAAACTCCTGGCCTCAAGCAATCCTCCTGTGCTAAGCACTTTGCAGTTATTTATTATTTCCATTTACAGACAAGGAAATTCACATAAACATGCACACAGCTTCCCAAAGCACTAGGATTACAGGTGGGAGCCACCACATTTGTCCCTGTCCTGGTTTTTCTTATAACAGCTGCATGACATTCTAGTGAAGAGCTGCACTGTAATTTCTTAAACCAGTCCCCTATCAATGATCACTTGAGTTGTTTGTATAATTTTACAATTTAGATAAAATTTTGAAACTATTTCTTCCAAAAGGAATGTCCTGATTCTTTCATTACTTGGATGTAAAAATGAATACTATTTTTAAATGGTTGAGAAGTATTAGAAAAAAATTTCTGATCCTGTTAAGAGGCAGGAATTTGGACAAATATCTTAAGATCTTGTGCTTCATTCTTGGTAGGTTGGCATGATTCATTTATATATTCAACAATTCTTAATCACTAGCCATGGATTATTTCAGACATAGAGGATATAAGAGGGAATGAAAGAGACAAGGTCCTCCTTGCTGTCATGGAAAGACATACATAGTAAACAAAGCAACAAATAAATGTGATACTACACAAGAAAAGAGTAATGGGAGAAAAGGGACACTCTTTTAGAAGTTCTCTCTAGGGAGGTAACATTTTTGCTGAGATATGGCAAGTGGTTGTACTGTCAAGCACTTTGCAGATATTATTTCCATTTTACAGATAAGTATATACAAACATGCACACATATTTAAATTGGACAGTGCATTTATTCATTAACCATGTATTTATTGAACACTTGCTATATGCTAGACCTGTACTAAATGCTGAAAATACAGCTGTGAACAAGACATAGCTAGTCTTGCTCCCATGAAGTTTATAGACTATTAAGGAAGACATTAAATAATTATGTAAATATTAATATGCTTGGGGCTTGCTAATTCTGAATAGAATCAGAGTTTAGTATGATTTCTTCCCTAGCCCCCAAACAGTACTCTGTACCACATTCAGAATCCTTCAAATGTACATTGAAAGGAAAATTGACCAGTCATTTGGAGCTTAAAATGAACCTAACCATTCTGTTACCAAAAAGCAAACATCAACATCCTCTTAATC